AAGGAAAATTATGGACGTTGGTTTTTAACCTAATACATAAAAAGCTCCAGAAATTGCTTTAGATCTTTCAGGAATAAATAATGTATAGTTATACAATCCAGGTATCTTTCTTTTTTTTTTTTTTTTTTTTTTTTTTTTTTTTTTTTTTTTTTACAGAGAGAAAGGGAGAGGGACAGAGAGCTAGAAACATCAATGAGAGAGAAACATCGACCAGCTGCCTCCTGCACACCCCCCTACTGGGGATGTGCCCACAATCAATGTGCATGCCCTTGATCGGAATTGAACCTGGGAGCTTTGAGTCCTCAGACTGACGCTCTATCCACTGAGGCAAACAGGTTTGACTAAGTATCTTTCTATTGTTAATTTCAGGTCATATATTTGTTAATGCTAAGAAAGTATTCCAAATTCTCCCTTTACTGGGTGAAAGAGGAGGTTTAGTATGACATCTTAAATGTATGATGATGACAAACAAATGCTAGTCTAAGACCTATCAAGAGCAAAGGGTCTTAAATGTAATCAGAAATCAATTCACTTATTCAAATACTCAATTGTACATTAGCATCTGAAATGTTACAGTGGAAATTGTAGAGCCTGGCTGGTGTGGCTCAGTGCTTGAAGCATCAACCTAAGCACCAGGAGGTGATGGTTCAATTCCAGGCCAGGGCACATGCCCAGGTTGGGGGCTTGATCCCTAGTGTGGGGTGTGCAGGAAGCAGTTGATTGATGATTCCTTCTTATCATTGATATTTCTATCCCTCTCTCTTTCTAAATCAATAAAAATATATTTTAAAAAAGAAAAAGAAATTGTAGAGCCAAAAAGTTTATAAGAAAACAGATTTTAAAAATTGTGTTTATTTGCTTTTTTTTAAAAAAAATCTTGAAATAAATATTTTATCATCATTATCCGAGCAGCCAATGTATCTAATGATGAAGCTAGGAACTGAAGTTGAATGATAAATAGGATAATTTTTTAAAAGAAAATCTCAACTGATGGTCATTTTTCTATAAACATTTCTGCATTTTTATTCACTTTGAAGACCGAACTTTAACCCTCAGATCGATGGCTTCTCATTTTATTTCTGGCCTTTTCTTCTGCTGCCTGTATGTTCCATGGTCTGGCCCCAGCTCCCTGGCAGGTCTACCCCAGCTTACCTTACACCCCTCCTACTGTTCACCCAGGGCCAGGACTACATTCTGTTCCAAGGGCTCAGAAATGTCTTTATCGACAGAACTAAGCTTGCAGGCCTGGATTCTACATTCTTCCGAAATGAAACATTCAGGGCTTAAGCGGGGCTAAGCACACTGTTTCCTCATTATTTCAAAAGAACAAGTGAAATACTTTTAAAATAAAAACCTTAGCATAATGGAGCCCTTAACATTTTTGGAATGGTGTACCTGTCTAGCCTTAGATTACACTACACACAGAAAGGAACCCCTCGCTCTAGTCAAACTGGGTTATAGATTGTCCCTAAAATATAACCAAGATATCTCCATTAGTAGGCTCTTGCTGCCTCGTGGATATATCTCCTTGAGTTACATTACAGACTGTGGTCTTACTCTGGTATTCAGTTCTTGCTTTGCTATTTAGCTTTTCCTATGCTGGCCTCCTCTCTACAACTATACCATAAACTGCTTGGCGGAAGGATTAGGCCTTCTGTGTCTCTAGATCCCTTACAATACTTATAAAGCGCCTGGTCCCAAGACGGGTGCTCATGTGTTTGCTGTTTTTATTGGCAGAGTCTACATAATAAATCACAAATGGTCACAAAAAGCAGGACTGGACCCATAGATAACCGGAAATAGCATCTGACTATCCAGAACAGCATTATGCAGGCATAAGGAGTGTGGCCAGGAATGATAAGAGCCAGCCCCTCCTGAGTGCTTGTTATTGTGCTGAGCACTTTTCTAAGTGCTTTACCGAAATGCACGTGAGAACTCTACGAGGTTAACTACAATTATCCTCATTTCACCGATGGGGAAACAGAGGCACAGAGAGGTTGGGTAGCTGCTCAGACTGGTTCCTGAGTCAGAGCACAAGCATGACCCAAAACTGTCTCTCGGCAGGTAGGCCGGGGAACCAGGAGAGGGTGAGCAGGGAATAACCGGAACCAGAGAAAGTGCTACCAAAATGTCTACTATTTTCGCTGTTCCCGGGCAATGCTTACCTGGGCCAATATATGATACATCATTTCAGTAATTACCCAGGTTCTCTAGTTTCTTGTGGTTTCAATTTTAGATGCCATTTAAAATGTATTCACAAAATGATTAGCTCTGAAAATGACTGAGTCGCTTTCTTTCCTCTCATTAGATATCTTTTTATATATCTAATTATAATTTCTCCTTATGTCTAATGATACTAACACAGAGGGAAATTGTTTACAATTTGTCATAAAGTAGCCACCTCCACGTTAGAACGTGGTAAATCATTAACCTCAATGGCAAAAGCAGAGGCTCCTGACTTCACCACAATTAGACATAAAAACATTAGCTACAGCAGAGAGAAACTACTCTGCAGAGTAAACAGTATGTACATCTGATATAAACACGTACCATTATATAGGTCCCAGGCTGGGCACAGGCCCAATCTGTTAATAAAATTAAGTTTTAATTGTTTCTGTGACTTTGAACAGAAGAACACAGATAACCAAAAACCACTTTGGCATTGGGTCCCGTATATGGACAAGATCTGAAAGGGTCATCTAGAAAAGTGACAAATGTGACATAATAGCTGCCTGCTGTTTTTTTATTGCTTTTATTTCTGTCATAGACATTGGGGGTAAAAAGAAAACACACAATGGCAATGCCTATGTACACACAGTGGTCCTCAAAGAATCAGTTCACTTTTACAGAATAGTATGTTGTTAATTTAACTTCTGAATTGTTGATGTGATCCAAGGAAGTAGCCCCCACCCCAGCCTCCATTTACAGGAAGTAACCCCCACCCTGGACTCCATTCTTAGACACTCACTCCAGTGTGCCACATAAGACCTCATGTGGCATTACTGATAGACTCAGAGGGGGGAATCAGGTTCCAGGGCAGAATGAAGATACTCAGAGTGGTTAATACCTAGGACCCTGTCCGCTTAAGAAAACACCCAAGGTGATAGGCAGTACACAAAAATCGCCACTGGGTGGAACTCCAGGTGTGGGAGGACTACTGTCTCCATATCCTTCATCCAGAAAGGCCATGTCATCTTTAGCGGGGAAGGTGTGAGCACAGAGTGGATGAGGGTGAGGCATTACATCTGCCCAGCCATGTCAGCCCAGATTAACTCTGAAAGTCAATCAGGCGACTACTGTCCCAGGCAGATCCCTCTCTGAGATGGCAGAGGCTAGGCAGTCTGTTTCATTTTGTTTAATTTCAACTAATTAATTCATCTTGAGGGAGGGAAGATTGAAGGGGTAAAAGGGCATAACTTTTTTTCTTGATAGTCCAGAACCCTGAGGCTTGGAGTGTTACCACAGAGATGAATAATTCAAATTCCCCTTTAAGTAGCAAGACCCCTATTCTGAAAGGCTGGCAATTTTTGAAAAGATTATTGTGTTCGGTGGTGTGTGCAGAAATCTCCAGTTTCATCAAGATGGGCTCAATATGAAGCATTTGTATGTGTACAAAGTGGCAAATGTTACGATGATTAACAGTAAAACAAAGACTTAAGGAAATTACAAGGCAAATTTTGCTGCGGTCTTTCTTTTTAAATATATTTTTATAGATTTTTTACAGAGAGGAAGGGAGAGAGATAGAGAGCTAGAAACGTCGATGAGAGAGAAACATCGACCAACTGCCTCTTGCACAACCCCTACCGGGGATGTGCCCACAACCAACGTATATGCCCCTGACCAGAATCGAACCTGGGACCTTTCAGTCCACAGACCGACGCTCTACCACTGAGTCAAACTGGTTTCGGCTTGCTGCGGTCTTTCAGTAGTTTTTTGTGTTTGCAGGTGATTTTGAATGTTATGACCTTGTATTTTTCTAATTTCACTAAAGGAGAACTAACCAAATTTGTGGATTTTACTTTTTTTTGCCTCGGTCTCAAAATGCCTAGGGCTAAATCAGGCTTGGTTCAGTGGCAATTGAAGGTTTCAGAGCCTTCAGCATGTTTAAATAGCTGCTCTTCTGTTTATTTTGCACTGTTTTATCCTGTAAGCTGTCTCAAGGCTCTTCCAATATAAGCAGGAGGATTTAGATCTCAATAAATTGAAATGTAAATAACAGAGGCAATCTGGGTTAGGGGGTCTTGAAAGATTAGGATAAACATCTCTATTTCCCATTGCCATATTGTGCACATTCTGTACATATTACCCTGAAATCAGCATCCGTCAAAATCAAAATATTAACCACAGCAATAAGACTAATAATGTTTAGATTTAAATTGCGCTGTTCAGTTTATAAGGACTTTTATTTACAGTTTTTCATTCTGTTCTTAAAATAGTTGTAAAAGACAGGAAGAATATGTGTTATGCCCACTTTCTAGATGATGAAAATGAGTCACTAAAAGATAAAAACATGCACAAAACTATATGGACAAGTGGTGCAACAGGACCAGAACTCAGTTCTTTCCAAGAGCCTTGCCATAATTTGGCCAGCTGTGTCAACATCTGTGTGCCAACAATAAGACTTTCAATCATATTTTGATTGAATTTATTGCAAATGCCTTCTTATAAAACTAATAACATTAGAGAAGTCTAATGTAATCTCTTTTTTTAAAAAGATAACCAAAGTGATTATTCATCAGATCAATCAATTCTGGGATTAGAAGTGACAAGCAAGCAATGCTCAAATACCTTTCTCTAGCCTCTTAATTTGATGGAAGGCATAAAAAATATGTAACTTTTTTTTACATGTAATTTAACACCAAAATATTCTGTCCTGTCATTTCTCATCACTCAAAATTCCCAGGAGTTGAATTTTTAGACACAGTAGAAATAAAAACCAAAAATTTAAAACATACAGTCTAATATTAATAGAAACAACAACAACAGTTTAAAAGGCTTACCTTGCAGCCTTCACATGTAATGACACCATAATGGATTCCTGATGATTTGTCTCCACAGATCTTGCATGGAATAATTTCAATTTGAGCTGCAATAGAATCACGCAACCAGTTAATTACATTTTCTTTTAAACACCTTATAAAAGCGTTCCCAGATCAGCATTTGTATAGTGAAAACTAATAACCTGCTAAACATTATACTGCATTAACTATTCATTGCTGAACTGTGAGGGTTCCCCTAGAGCCCTGGACTAAATTATGGCTGCTCGTTATATAATAGCTTTCGGGTTATTAAAATGGGTCATTTGAGAAGGTGTTTAAGGACCCACAAGAAGGCTGGAATCAGCATTTCAAAGCCTTCCAGAACCCGAGAGTTCGCAGTTTAGGCCTCAGAGCAAAGCAGATACTAGAATGTTTCCTCCGATCTCATTTTCCATCATTATTTTTAAAAGGTCATAAATCTGTCTTGGCTGAGCACTGTAGCTCGACTGGTCGAGAAAAATATGCTCCAAAAAGTCAAGACTACTTAGGGAAATGATTCAATTCCAAATATTCATGTTACTTATGATGGCAAGTTAAGAATTCCTTACTCATCCTTTTTTAATTAACATAGTTGCCATGTGCTAAAAATGAGTCCATTTGTGTACGATCAAAACCATTTAACCATAAAGATAATATCCTATTTGTCAGGACTCATCAATTAATAATGATGAGTCCTGACAAATAGAATAAGTAGCCTCTAAGTTCTTTGCTTTGGAAATTGATTTTCTGATACAACACACTTGTGTTTCTATCCAATTGATTACCTAAAGATGCCTCATGCTTTAAAACTAAGCAAATTATATATATATATATATATATATATATATATATATATATATATATATATATATAAAGTTCTCAAATATGACAAAATACATTTCTAAGTAAATACATTATATCTTGAGCAGAGTTGGACATAGCATAATTAAGGATTAAAAGATAACGTAAGGACAAAATAATTAGGCAAGACAAAGTACTTGGATCAATTATGAAATAAAATTTGTATATGAAAAGAAGAGACCCTCACTGAAGTATATTTACAGGATGGCACCAGTCTACCTGGAATGTTCCATTGGGGTAGGTTTATTTTCCATGGTTTTCATTACTGGATATCCTAACAGATTATCTACAAATCACACACACAAATACAAAGGCAAGTGCCCAAGTGTATTTCATTTTTATATACAGTAGGTCCTTGAGTTACATTCGAGATCCGTTCCTACGATGCAGCATAACGTGATTTTCAGATTTTTGCCGTAAGTCGGACCCCACCTACATAAGCACCTATGTCACTCCCATGGAGCACATACACAGCAGCAATGAAGTGAAACAGTAAAAAAAAAAAAAAATTAAAAGAGATAACAATTCCTGACCTTTACTTGTGGTAAATAAGTGATAAAAAAAACATATAGTATAGCACATATGTACATACATCAAAATGACAGAACTTCTTTTTTTAATTTTTATAAATAAATGGGAGATGGCGACGTAATCACAGAACGACTTACGCTGAGTCCGACGTAACCCGAGGACTGCCTCTAGCTCCTATCTGGCCCCATACCTTACACAAAGCAACCAACAATGTAAGCTACACGATAAAAGTAACACATTTACACACAGCCCCCTCTTCCAATCAATGTAATCCCATATCCTGGGAGAATTTCCACAACACTTACTTTGAATTTCATGTGATGCTGTATTCAACAATTAACACATGAAATTCCTGGACTTAACCTCATTATAAAGCATGCTAACTTCCTTTCAAGGGGACTAGTACAAGTACTGAACAGGAAGTGTAAGCTATTCAGAGAGTCCTTTTCCTATGGGTCACTTTTAGTGTAGAGATACTATTGAGTTTTATCGTCCAGAGTTAGAGATGGTTCAAAATATCATGTCCAATATATTTTCCATAATCCTGGAGCTTTCTAAAACTCAATAATGCTGTCTTTGTACACTGTCGAATATGTCTATTTGTGAGTTATACAACTTAATATGTTAAAATGATCACCTCCAAGTCTGCCTCCTTATCCTTAGCACCTAGGAAAATTCTCTATGAAATCTGAAACCTAATATTTCACATCTGTGGTCCCTCCAGTGTTCTAAGACAGCGGAGGCAAAGTTTTGTGCTACAGATTGTCTGCAACTGGAGACGAGATAGCTAATGCCAACTTTTTTTCAGGGACTCACAAAAGCCAAGGGGTAGCTGAGAGGTGATATCAGGTGAGAGTTATTGCCTGGGTTTTCCCATCTGAATTAACTAGTCTATAATGAGAACCTGCCTCCCCAACCCTGACCCCCAAGGAATCGAATAATTAGGCAACGCAAAGTACTTGGACCATCTATTAAACAAAATTTATACGTGGAATAAAGAAGACTGGCACTGAGCTGCTTCTGCAAATGTGTCACCTCAATCTACACTCACAGAAATTAGACACAGACAAACCTAGCCAGGCCCTGTGGTTCAAGTCAGCATCAAAATTAGCCGAGGCAATTCAAGCAGCATTAATGCTAAACTTGGGCTTGTCAAGCGCTATCTTGATTTCACCTTTACAATGGAGAGATCAACACATCTAGTTAGTCCTTTATAAGCTATGAAGACCCTGGGCAGGCCATATTGGGAATGCTGAGTAAAACTGTGCCTGGATCAAATGGAAAAATGACATATTTCTGTTGAGTGGGCCTGGACTCTTAGTGGATTATTTCATCAGAAGTGAAACGATGACATTTAAGCCAATGATCAAAATGCCTGCTAATGGCTGCTCTGATCCTGCCAGTGATACAGAGGTGTGACATGGAGGGGTATGCTTGTGATAGGGGTGGTCCTGGGAGTGCCACCCTGGCCCAGCACTCTAGCCTTTGAATGGCTCAGGGTCTAGCTGGGGGGAGGGTGGGTCCTTGTTAGCCTGAGTCAGGCTCTCAAACTCTTGGTCTTCAGTCTTATTTCAGCTCCTAGGTTCTTTCAGATCTGGAGGACACTTAAGCTAAGATATATTTCACAAGATTTATGGAGGCTAGGGAGTCGTTTTTACTCACTGTAGATGACTTGTATTTTCAAGCAGGAGGCCATCTGTCAGCCACTGAGTTTGTGCTTAGTTCCAGTGGGCAATGTGGGCCAAAGAATCAGAATTTGCTAGAACAAGATTCACTGGGAAGCTCTTGGAAATTATGGTAATAGAAAGGTTCTCCAAAGCAAGGTTCAGGAGTTCTGGCTAGCCTGACCAAACTATTCTACTAGCCTCCCTCCAGTGGGGCCATCTTATCTCAGGAGACAATTTCCGTTACAAGTGCTCTTTAAGAAATGACTGAAATACATCTGCTCCGGAAAGTAAACTTGCTGAATGTGACCTGATCACACATGTTGATATTTCCAGAAAGCAAACATTTGCAGATTGGAGCAGGGCACTCAGCCTTCCATTTAACCCAACAATGCACAAAGGTGCCCACTCCACCTTTTTAGTCAATTTACAGAATTCAACAGTAACACTGAGAATAAAAAAATGTAGTCATTGACTTGCAAATTTTCCAAAAGGCAGGCAGTTTAGTTCCATAAATTTTAGTTTTCAGTCCAATAAGAGAGAAAAGGCCTTTCCTGTCCATCCCTCAGGCTTTTGCATTTTCCAACAGGCAGTGCTGTGTCTTTTCAAAATAATCTTCTTTTTAACACAAATTATGAGTCTTGGCCCGTAGATATACTGCACGCATTAACTCAGCCAGTATTTCAAAGGATGAGTTCTGTCAGACTCCACTCCTGTCACAAGTATATTGATTAAATTAGCTCACATACATATTCATCTCAGCAAAGAGGTTTACTGTGTAGGGGAATATTCGAAGCAAGAAGCACACAGATAATCATGAATTGGCTTAACAATGAACAATCTTGCTATGAAAAATTCTAATTTGCCTACATTTTCAGCTCTATTGCCTAAATAATTTGCTCTCTCGTGCGCCCTGAGTAATTCAAGCAGGCGCTCCACACCTGCAGAGGCACATTTCTGCAGTTTCAGGGAGCTGACAACCAGCGACAGCGGGGCGTCAGGAAATGTGACAATACAAGCGTGCTAATTAGCCAAGTGGTCCTTGGGCTGGGCTGTCATTGAGCCTTGGATGTACTTCCACACAAAGTTTGCTTTTTTACTTTTAATTATAAAAGGGACAGGCACATGGACCCGGCATTTTTAACAACTCATTTATTTCTCAGGACATACTGTGGGATATATCTTGATCTTGAGAAAAATGTCCGTTTTCCCAAATTAAAAAAAAATACAATAGTATGAGTTATACCCATCACTTCGCTCTCGGTAAATAGTGAACATGTGTTTGTGTTTATGATGCAAGGCATTATTGCATTTACTTCAACAATCCTATGAGGTAGGTGGTATCATCATCATCATCACCACCTCCTACATTTTTTTAAGTGAGAAGACAAATTTAGAGAGGCAAAATAACTTGCCCAAAGTCAGAAAGCTAGGGAGAGGTAAGACTGAAATTTGGGGACATTCTGTCCTTTTGTCTAACTAAAAATTTGGGGCTTCTGCTCAGCCAGTGTGGTTCAGTGTGGTTACGCTTTGACCTATGAATCAGGAGGCTATGGTTTGATTTCCAGTCAGGGCACAAGCTCGATTCAGGTTGGGTTTCAGGCTCGATTCCCAGCCCAATCAATGATTCTCTCTCATCTTTGGTATTTTTCTCTTTCTCTCCTTCCTCCTTCCCCTCTGAAATCAATAAAAATATATTTTTAGAAAGTATTTTATTAAAAAATAAAATAACTAAAATAAAAATGTAGGTTTCCCCCTTCTCACTATTCTGCATTGCTAAGATCCAATCGGTCCAGTAACAAACATCAGGAGATTACCATTCTTGGTAAGCAACCATTACCAAAGGACCAAAAGACATAAGTATTATAATTTGGTTAAACATACATACACTTTGAACTGATATCAAGATGTCTTTCTGGGAGTTACCTGACTTTTTTAAAACTAGAAGTAATCATCAACCTTCTAAGTCATTCTTCTCAATTTTACAAAATTCCAAGTAGTTTTTTACCTTA